TGGTTCTGTGGGTTGGGGAGGATAGGCCTGGGGGCCAGGGGGCCGGCTGAGCTGTGGGTGGGGGGTCCAGAGCTGGGGGCAGTGGGTGCAAATGAAGGGAAAAAATGACCTGATCTCTCCTCCCTCCTCCCCCCCAGGAGAGACTCCATCCAGTGAAGAGAGAGCGACTCTCGGGCTCCAGCCCGGCCTTCCACATCCTCGCCGTGGAGCCCACGTAGGGCCGGGGGGCTCGCTGGGGGCCAGGCGGGCACCTGGGGCTCTGCTTCCTTCGCTCCGGTGCAGGGGCTGGAGGGAACCATCCTAGGACTTGACTGTGGGGTTGGAGGCCTGGCTGTGCCACTGTCCTTCAGTACAACTGTGGGTGGGTCATGTCCCCTCCCAGTGCCTCAGTTTCCCCATCTGTCAAACGCAGCTGGCGCTACTGGCCTCTTTGGCGAGCGCTGTGCGATCGCTGGGTAAGCCGCAGGGCTGGCCGCAGGCTGGGCTGGCGTAACTTCACCAGGCCTTTGGCACTAGCTGGGCCGGGCTCTGGCCTGCCGGGCCCCTGGGGGCAGCAAAACCCTGCTCCTGCAGGACAAGGTGGGTTGTTTCACTGGGGGGTGTTGAGCAGCTGGGAGAGAGGCCCAGACTGGCTCTGAGCCCCCCATGTGCCCCCTGCCCAAGGGGCCCCCCCCCCGCTAGGCACTAAGCCGCCTGTCTCCCTCCCCTCCTGCCCCAGGCTGCAGGCGTCCTTCACCATCCGCGAGGACGCCAACCCCAAATCCCGGAAGCAGGGCCTGAAACGATTCCAGGAGAACCCCGAAGCCTACTGGGGCCCTAAAGCCAGAGCTAAGACAGGGTAAGGGGAGCCCCAGGGTGAGCGGGGACTCCTGCGTTCAATTCCTGGCTCTGAGGTGATGGGCCGCTTTCTGCCTGGCTCCCTGCCTCAGTTTCCCCAGTTGAAAAGTGGGGCCAGGCTGGTGAGAAACTTCACTCGCTGCTGGCAAAACGTCTGACTGAAAGGCAGTGACCGGGCCAGCTCTCGGGGGGCCTGGGCCCAGGGCGGAGTTAACGGTGGCGACTCTGGCTCCGTGTTGGAGCCGTTCACCCTGTGGGGCTACTCTAGTGCCAGGTTTGCAGCCCTGGCCTGCTTCCATTGGGCCTCTTCAGTGCCTCCCCCCTGGGGGGCTGTGGGGATGCTCCTTTAGGTCTGTTGCTGGGGGCTGTTCTCGAGCTGCCATGCTCCACCCCAGAGGCAGCTGCTGTCACTCCTAGAGCTGCTGCCTTTAGAGGCTGTTGCGGAACAAGAGGCAGGGACGGGGCTGGGCTCAGCCCCCTTCCTCACCCAGCTGCCCCCGCCTGCCCAGGGGGGGCATTTCCACCTCCCTGCAGGACAAGAGGAAGCTGCATCAGAACAAGCGGAAGGAGAGGGTGGAGGACAGGAGCCGCTTGAAAAACAAGAGACTCAAGGAGGTGAGGCTGGGCCGGGGGCGGGGGGTCCTGGCCTGGGTTCAGCTGTAGTAACATTAACACTGTTGCTTCTCTCCCCGTGCCAGGCGAGCGAGGGGGGGGCGGAGAAGTGCTGTCCCTCCCCCGAACCAGCCCCTGCTGCGGGGGCGTTTTGCTTTGTTTTGTTTTAAGGACTCTCTGGGCTCTGCCATTAAACCAAGAGCCTCGGCTTTTCAGGTACAAAGCCAGACTCGCGTGTGGTGCTTCGGGGGGTCCTGAGGGCAGAGCTGCCTGGCGGCTCCGCTGGGGTCTGGGGGGAAAGGGAGAGAGCTGCCTCAGTTTCCCCACAGGCAATGGATCATCATTTCTCTGTTCTACCTGCTGCCCCCCCACCGAGCAGGACTCCGTCACAAACCCTACAACTCAGGTCCTGATTTATTAATTGCACTTATTTGCACCCAAACTTGGCTGCAGCTCGCAGGGCAGGGACCCACCCCCTGGAGCAGCTGGGCCAGCTGATGCTGGGGGGTGGGGGTGGGGGGCAGGGCTGTGCCCCCCCTGCTCAGCAAGGCCTGGCCGGTGCCTGGTTTAGCTCTTGCTCCCACGCTGGGGCGCTTCCAAAGCCCAGTTTGGTGCGTCCCAGCAGGCACAGTGCAACCTGCTGCCAAGCAACCACGACCACAACCTCCCCCCCACTGTTCTTGGGGGGGGGGGGGGGGTCCGGGGCGGGCTCGCCCTGGGGC